CCCCTCCCCTCCTGCCGGGCTGCAGCCTCCCCTCCCCTCCTGCCGGGCTGCAGCCTCCCCTCCCCTCCTGCCGGGCTGCAGCCTCCCCTCCCCTCCTGCCGGGCTGCAGCCTCCCCTCCCCTCCTGCCGGGCTGCAGCCTCCCCTCCCCTCCTGCCGGGCTGCAGCCTCATGTCTTCTCCAACCAGTGGGGGTTCGTGGGTATGCTCAGTGACTGTGCGTCTCTGCTGCTATCTCTTGTGTGTCTTCCACTCCCATGATGGACCGCCCCCCCAGTTTCTCCTGCGCTGGTGTGTCCACAATTCACGGCTTGGTGTGTGTGCGTGCCCCGGGCCCAGGCGATTCTGGAAGGAATCCTCCACACCTTGGAGCACCTCCCAGACATGTTCCTCATCTCGGAGAAGGAGGGTGCTTTTGGTAGCTCCAGGCCTCTAGGCAGAGCTGTATGTGTCATTGTGCTGGCAGGGTTACCCAGCTCCAAGGCTGCAGAGCATTGCGTGTCTTCATGTATGTAGAGAGAAGATAACTCGGTCCTTCAGGGTGGGAGCATCATCTGTATACTGTGCAAAGCCTGGAACTAACCACAGACTGCAATCACCGAATGATGGGGGTTTGATCATGCATGGCGGCATCTTCCAAGCTTCACCTCCATACAGCAGGCCTGAAAACAAAGCCAATGGGTATTGAGGAAAAGCCAACCTGACCGATGGACCGTTCACATGGTAGTCACATGACCAGGTGGGTTTAGCGGTCAGGTTTCTGGGTATCTTAACCTTCAATATTCAGAATCTGCTGGTTTTGCAATGGAGTCGGTGTTCAATAGGGATGATCACTGCTCCTGAACACTGCTTTCTGGAAGATATGTTGTGTGTAACATAGTCCTGACTAATGTTGTGCATTACATACATGTTCATTATGTGTGTTCCATCGTCTCCACAATGGTTGGCAGTCTCCAGACTCCCCTTGAAGGTGGACTTAGGCGGGTCATGGAAGGTGGACTTAGGCGGGTCATGGAGGGTGGACTTAGGCGGGCCATGGAAGGTGGACTTAGGCGGGTCATGGAGGCTGAACTTAGCCGGGTCATGGAGGCTGAACTTAGGCGGGTCATGGAGCCTGAACTTAGGCGTGTCATGGAGGCTGGACTTAGGCGTGTCATGGAGGCTGGACTTAGGCGGGTCATGGAGGGTGGACTTAGGCGGGTCATGGAGGGTGGACTTAGGCGGGCCATGGAAGGTGGACTTAGGCGTGTCCTGGAGGGTTGGGCTCTATAACATGGTGAAGAAAGGTGGCCCTGCGAAGTCACTGGGAGGGGAGACTGGACCTGGACCTTAATCATTATTTTCTTTCTCCCGACAGAACCTTAAAACCAGAGCGCAGATCGAGAGCCTTCTACAGGATGGGAAGAACAAGGAGCTGCGGGACCGGCTGTGCAGCCACATGTCCTTCGGCACGGCCGGTTTACGTTCCGCCATGGGGGCCGGGTTCTCCAGAATCAACGACCTGACTGTCATACAGACCACACAGGTAAGAAGCCCATGTCCAGTCGGTTCTCACAATATTGCTGCTCAGTTTCTATAATATAAATATATGAAAAGAAAGCTGCGATCATCCTATGGGGCCCCTCTCCTTTCATCTGTGGCCCCTGGACACAGCCCCATGGAAGTCTATGGGTACAGCCTCATGCAGTGCTCAATGTAAACAAACACCGGAGGCCGTGGCCATCGGGTCCGTCATCCTCGGTATTGAGTATAGATGGAGGATAGGTCTAGTCGGGATGACCGATGCCGGTTTTTCGGTATCGAGTACGGATATTTTTTTTGCCAATACCGGAAGTCCTATCAAGGAAGCCAGGCGGCGTTTAAAGATTTGCCACCTGGCTTCGCGATTAGCATGGAAGCCGCCTCCATGCTCCCACGTCACCAAGTGAGGAGGAAGCGTGGAGGCGGCTTCCTCGCCAATCAGGAAGCCGGGAGCTGTGTAAGGACTCGTCAAAGCTGGCCAATCAGGAAGCCGGGCAAGGAGCCATTACACGGCCCTCCGGCTTCCTGATTGGCCAGAAAGCCAGCTTCATGCTCCCTCGTCACCAGGTGACGAGGAAGCGTGGAGCCAGCTGCCCGGCCAATCAGAAATCCGGGGGAAGGGTAATGGCTCACTACACGGCTTCCTGATACCGGAGCCTCTAGGCATGGGAGCATTCGGGCGAGTACGAGTACTCTCCTAAATACTCGGCACCGATACTAGTATCGGTGCATTCCTAATGTCTAGTGCTGTGGTGAAACTACAAATCCCATGGGGCATTGCAAGATTCTCACCACCACAGGCAAGACTCCCAGAGACAGATGCATCATGGGATTTGTAGTTTCACCACAGCTGGAGGGCCGGAGGTTCCCCACCCTTGGTCTAGTGTATGGCCGGCTTTAGACATCGGGCTCTGCCCTCTTCCTTCTGGTCTGGGTTCAGGTTCTTCCGGTTCCAGCTCATCCCTCTGTAGATCTCTGTCGGGGTCACCGGTTTCTGGTTTGGTGTCATCTGTATAGACGTGTCAGCTGAGACCATGGTGTTGGGTGACACCTCCCGGCGGGATCATGTTTATGGTAAAGGACTTTGGTGACACAATGATAGGTGGAAATACTGCGGTCGGTTGTAACAAAGAAGCCTGCTGTAGATGTAACCCAGAACTGGGTCGGAGTGTGCACAGAGCGCTGTGTATCGGGAACAATTGCCATGTGTTTTACAGAGAAAAATCGTTTTTTCTTCTTTTTAATGCATCTCAATGTTGCCGATCTCCTGCAGCCTCTTTCAGTCACTTCCCGTCTGCATGCACTCGCTCTGAAGTCAGCTGCAAATCATTGCTCTGATGGTGAGCTGACTGCATGCAGACAGGAAGTGACTAAACGGTGGACCGTGTCAGCTGACTGCATGCAGACAGGAAGTGACTGAACGGTGGACCGCGTCAGCTGACTGCATGCAGGCATGAAGTGACTGAACGGTGGACCGCGTCAGCTGACTGCATGCAGGCAGGAAGTGACTGAACGGTGGACCGTGTCAGCTGACTGCATGCAGACTGGAAGTGACTTGAACGGTGGGCCGTGTCAGCTGACTGCATGCAGACAGGAAGTGACTTGAACGGTGGACCGTGTCAGCTGACTGCATGCAGACTGGAAGTGACTTGAACGGTGGACCGTGTCAGCTGAGTGCATGCAGACTGGAAGTGACTTGAACGGTGGGCCGTGTCAGCTGACTGCATGCAGACAGGAAGTGACTGAACGGTGGACCGCGTCAGCTGACTGCATGCAGGCAGGAAGTGACTGAACGGTGGACCGCGTCAGCTGACTGCATGCAGGCAGGAAGTGACTGGTGGACCGCGTCAGCTGACTGCATGCAGACAGGAAGTGACTGAACGGTGGACCGGGTCAGCTGACTGCATGCAGACAGGAAGTGACTTGAACGGTGGGCCGTGTCAGCTGACTGCATGCAGACAGGAAGTGACTTGAACGGTGGACCGTGTCAGCTGACTGCATGCAGACAGGAAGTGACTTGAACGGTGGGTACACCATAGTCTCCAAAGGGGGCACAGTGTGACTGGGTGACCACACAGGAGTGCCATTGAGTGACTGTTGTTAAGATCTACATTATGGCAGACTTGCCTCTCGGTCTCTAATGCTGACACCTCATTGGTCGCTGACATCTCCTCCTTTCTGAACCTCACCCTACAGCCATTGGTCAGCCATGATGATGTAACCCCCTGCTTGTGTAGTTTGGATCCACATTGCCCCCATACCTGGCTCTGGATGCCGAGAATGGACCCAGAAGGTGCAGTGTGTACCCCGACATTGCTGACTTCATTCTTACAAGGCCGGCTCCTCTGTTGTCTTGCCGAACCGGGTCACCTATGCAGATCAGGAGCTCGCCCTTCACTGGCCGCATGCTTATTCTATTGTTAGTGACTTGGCAAGTAATGAAGAAGTGTTAAACCCTCCAATCACCTATGGGCTTCATTCATAACGGACACTCGCTCGTTATTTCCCAGAGCCGGGGGGAAGCATGCACTGTACACATCACAGGGACTACATTCCCCATCATCCTCAGTGACATGAGCACAGAGCCTTCAAATGCCTGATGAGCATAGAATTTGGACTGGACTGCCTCCCCCCCACAGAGGTGCTGATGGTTGCTCGGAGGAGGAGCTAGGCAGTGAGCCATACCTGGGGTTCCCAGCTGCTGGTGGTTCCTCGGAGGAGGAACCACAAGGGATGGCGGGCTGCAGCAACGACGGTGCTGGTAAGGACGGCCATGACGGGGCTCCAGGAGACGTCGCCCCCTAAAAAATAGAACCAGAGGACAGAGAAATGTCAGGAATTGGAGATTTGGGTGTTTAATGACACTTTAGAGCAGGGGTAGCCAAACCCCGGCCCCCTCCAGCTGTGGTGGAACTACAAATCCCATGAGGCATTGCAAGATTCTCACAGACATGGCTCCCGGAGAGAGATGCCTCATGGGATTTGTAGTTTCACCCACAGCTGGAGGGCCGGAGTTTTGCTTCCCCTGCTTTAGAGCCAATCAATCCGAATGATTGCCGTTCGTTTATGGATGGAGGTCAGCAAGGGCCGGCTCCTGGGAGCAGAACCCCCGGGCGTA